TGCAGCTGTGCAAGTTGAACACCAACTTGCAACCTTTTTCCATTGCTTTTGACTACTTTTCCAAGGAATTTCTGCTGGTTTCTACAAAAAGGAATATCTGAGATTTGTAGAAGCAGCTTTTTACCATTTCAAGAATCACTTTAGCTAGATTTTTCTTGCATATAAACAACTTGTATTGGAGGATTAAAGGAGACTTTTGGGGGAGGAAAAAAGGCTAGGAGAAACTTGCAAACAAGGCTTGAGAGAGATAGTTTCAGTAGAAGAAATCCTTTTATACTTTGAAGATTAAAGAACAAGTATAAAAGGGAGTTTGAGGAGCTTTATTTCAACATATTGAATAAGATTTCTTCATCCTTTACACTTTACATTCTTATCTTCATTCATGCTTTGTTACCTGAGGTATACATCCTTAGACATGCTTATCTTCATTAATAGCAAAGCTATTTTCTCATAGGATGAAGATAAACTTATTTTTAAGATGATATGAAGTAACTTGTGGTTGATTTTTGCTATCTTATGAACTTGTTAGTTATTGAATTTATGCTTGTATTTGTAGTTGCTTGATCACCAACTATGAATAATTTAATCATTTGCTTGTGCATTTAAATTTGCCTTGCAAGTATAGATCAAGATTCATGAATCCTGAAACACATGTTCATGTTAGTAGGAGATATATTTAGGTAGATCTAACTAATAACCTTATAGATCTTTATAAGCTTGTATCAAGTTAACTCATCATGCAAATAGGCGGAGGTTTGGTGCGAGTATGTTTGGATAATTGTAAAAGCATTATTCAAATAAAATTAGAAATTATATCATTGGCAAGTCATGAGTGAATGGCTTAAATCAACCGAGTTATGTCTTAAATTTGAACAACAAGGGATTCGTAAATCCTAGGAAGTTTTTCTACTAAATTCTCCATTGTAATTTTATTGTTTTAACTAGTTTAATTTGTAATATAACTTTTACTTGAGTTCTTGGATGATTAGACAATAGAGTGAGCTTAGAAAACCTTAATAATTATAGGATTCCTTATGAGATCGATTTTGATTATCCACATACTCATTTTGATTTGTATATTTGCAGCAAAAAGGGTAATTAAATTTTCTTACTTGAAAGCCTAATTGCATGTCACCTATTCTAGCCATCCGCATACTAAATTTGGAAGAAAAAAATAGAATATTGGAAACTTTAACTCCAGGCAATTGAACAAATGCCATAGCTATAACTTAGCAAAATTCTAGATACCTATAAATATGGTAAAAAGGAAAATAACACATTTTAAACATCCAAAACCCGATGGCAATTGACACGAAACAACAAAGCTTTTAATTGAGGAGAACAATAAGCAAACATGAAGAACTTGAGGCTTAAAAAGAAAAAAAAAAAACTATGATAAACGACAAGAAAAATGCATTTCTTAGATAAGAGAATTTAGAGCATTTGGGTATGTTAATCACATTTATAACCAGATTCTAACAATTCATATTCGACATGCTAACAGGTAGTCTTTCGAAATCATATACATTCAAATATATTCATACATATTAGATAACAAAAAGCAACAAGATAATTAGGCAAAGTTGCAGCAATTAGAGCAAAATTAGATATAACAATGTTCTTTAGGATATTTGAAATCAAGATAAAATGGCAAAAGCGGATTAGATTAGTACTTAAAAAATCTAGACTTTCTTGCAATTAGCATATGCAGACACACTAGCTATAATGAAAGTTATATTAAAATATACCATCATATCTATTATCCGGATTAAGTCCTCTACAAAAGAAAAGAGAAATACGTACAAAAGGTTTTCTAAAATCCATTAAGAAAATTGAAGAATTAGTTCGAATATCTCAAAGATTCGACATTCAGGAAAAGAGAAATTTATAAATAAATCGACCCAAAAAATTAGTAAATTGGGTAGGGGGTTTGCATTTTGCATTGGTTCTACAAACAGCCAAATCTTGAGAGTGGGATGCAGGTGTTGAGGCAAGGTACTTTGCAACTTGCTCTACTTTTTTTTTTTTTTTTTTTTTTGGGAAGGCAGAGAGAGCAAGAGGTGAGGAGCAAAGGTTTAGCTATGAGGCTTTGAGTTCGGAGATACTGGCACTGCATCTTTTTTAACGGGGTAGAGAAAGCTCTGGTGAGAAAACTAAGGCGGAGAAAGAAAGAGAGAGGTAGAGACTGAATCGGTGAAATTGTCGGTGTGGACAGGTACTGGACTGTAGCATGACTCCACTGAAATTCTAAAATTATCCCCTTTGACCTAGGCAAGATTTCATAGATATCCACCTCCTGTTGGTGCCTATGGGACACTAGGACGTTCTAATGACTAATTTTCTCACAACTAGTACTTCGAATTTTGCGGTAAACTTTTCACATCATATAGAAGACAAGACTTGGCCCCGGCGGGGTAGTTCGACCGGTGTGACTGTTTCTCTTTAGACATGTTCATCAGAATTCGAATCCCGCTACTAACATGCTCGAAGTGGGTTGGGACGTTCTCTTCTGGACCGCAAAGGATTAGTCTAATCGAAGGTTCGGACACCTTTGTATCGAAAAAAAAAAAAAAACAAGACTTTCTCTCTTCGTCAACACCACTATCATTCTTAATATTTGATAGCTTTTAGGTGATAATTATAATAAGAAATCATATCCTTGAGAGTTTCGGTAAATCCTATATCTAAGAGTGTTTTCAGTATTTTAAATTGTTTGTTTGCATTTGTGATCAACACCATCCTTTGACTTGGGGGACCAAAACGTGCTATGGTTTGACAACGCGACTTGTGGCACCCGTCGGAGTGAAGGCACCTCATGCTAACCTAGTACTGCACTGTATTTGGCGCTGCCAAGCTGCATAAGGAAATAAAGTTGTGCTTTTATTAACAACAATTGTTTTTGGTGTGGTGGTAAGTGATTGATCCTAACATCATTATATAAGTGAAAGGCTTTTGAAGAGGGGAATGAAATCTAAATCTCACGAAGGAAATGAGGCTTAAGGAGATTGGATTGCTTCAAGTCGTAGAGGGATCATTGTTCACAAGTTAGAAGAGGTGATTAGTGAAAGAAATTTCAATTTTAGAAAAACTTTTGGAAAGAACGTAGGTAGCAGAAAGGATTGTCAAATCATTGCACATTATGAGTTTTTTTTTCCCCTGCTGCTTCTACATTTAATTGATATTGTTAATTCAATTTTTATTGCAATTCTTGTTTGTACCTTAAATTAACATGTTAAAAACTTTAGCATCTTATTTTACCCTAAGTTGCATTAGGTTCAATATATACTGGGAAGATAAATTAAGACCTTTTCAACATTTTGTTAATATATATGAAATAGAAAGAACTTACTAAGATTTGTCTATAGCTTGTAAAGTATATTTGGTTTTAAACTATTATGTAAATAATTTTTAAACTTTATAACTAATTTTCATATAAGTCCAAAACGAAGAAATTAATATGAGGAAGTTGATTACAATAAAACCCATCTCTTATATAGCAACATTGATACCACCCTAAGCATAGAAAGAATTGACTATGCCCTATGGTATTTTGATAATGCAAAAAAATGAAATTATATGTCATGCCTATGTAGCGGAGTTACTAGTAAGAATTAGTGTATATACGACTATTGCAAAGAAGTAAAGTGTAATAATTTCTAAAATTCAAAGAACAGATTACATCATCCTAAAATTTTACCTAGCAGTAAAGTAGTTGTCCAAAAATAATTCTGATTCTTCAAATTTTACAAAGTCCTGAAACGTTTTCCATATTTTTATTATAGGGCAAAGTGTAATTTTACTTTTACGTTGTCATCTCTCTCCATACTTTTCCTACTTGGAGTAGTCAATTTTATGATTTTAATTTTAGGAATGATTTCATAAGCCTCTCTTGAGGTTTCTAATAATTTCACTGAGCTCTCCTGAGATTTGAAAAATTATACATACCTCCCTTGTCATTTAAAATGATAATTTTACCCTTAAATATTTTAATGAAATTCTCTTATTTGGTATGCTTATATTTATAATGAGTTTTAAAATAATTTTTTCATTCTTTCTCTTCTTATTCCTTTTCTTAAAATTTTTCGCCAATAAAACTATAGAACTACTGCTATTGCCTCTAGGTTTCTATTATAATAAAATGTCAAGCTAGTGATTTTTTTGACGAGTTAATTTTATATGTAATCCAATGTTTTTGTTGATCTTTGTTTTCTATTTTTTGGTATTAAAATTAACAATAAATAAAAAAGAAATGGTCCAAAAGTACTACTAAATTATGATAATCCTACTAATCCAAAAATTTATAAACTCTAAATGAATTATTTCAACATTTTCTTTTCTATCTTATAAATCTAAATCCATAATAAAATACCATCAAAAATACCATATCATAGTAATAAAATTATTATTGTAGTTGTTTATCAAATAGTAGATATGGACATGAAAAATTTGGCACATTTTTCTTATAATTATACTAAATAATCTTATAATTGTATTGGGAAATAAATTAACACTCATTCTACAAGGGCATTTTTAGATATTCATTTAAAAAATTATCCAAGTCAATATTATTTTAAAATTTTATTACCAAAATTATCAAATCAAGAAAGGTAAGTGTAATTTTTCAAACCTTAGAGGAGTTCAGTAAAATTGTCAAAACCAAAGTTACTAAAATTATCCCTTAATTTTAAATCTAACAGTTAAAAGAGCTCTAAATTCCTTCCCTAACTACTAAAGCCAACCCCAAGTGGTTGACTCTATTCATAATTTCATGTCAAGCTTGAAGGCTATAACAGTAAACTCTTGTACCCAACAAAAAGTGCCAGCAAACTGTTCACCGAAAATGTATGCAGCCGTAGATCAGCACATGGACCCCTAGAATCCAGATCAGACTAAAGAAAGAAAGTGAGAACCGAGAAAGCAAAGAGATCGCACAAAAGAACAAATCAAAAAGCATTTTACTGCCATCCACTTTGTCACTACCCGTTGGACTTGCTTCCACACCTCTCCCACAAAAAGCCACGCTTTATACTAGTTTTTAGTATTATTTTGTACATCCCACTTCGCCTCATTTATTAGGGTTCTCCCTCCTTTCTCTTTCTTCTCTCCATAATACTAAATCTTCCCCATTTCACATCCATCAAGTTGAAGCCACTGATTTTAGTAGGAGTACTGGTATATACCAAAGGGCCACCCTGTACTAGCCATCAAAAGCCCAAGCCAATAATTCAGTGAGTTTCTTAACTCCCAATACAGCTCATTCCTTCTCTGTATTTTAAACGTTCTTTTTTTTATATGTATGTATTAATTAATGTTGGTTGAACAGGTTGTTGTTAGTTGGAGTTTTGCTATTAGTCTTCTTTCTGGTGTTGGTTTGTTTAAGTTTGGTTTGAAGATATGGAAATTGATTTTTACAAAGCCCCAGATTGATTTTTTGTGCTAGAATCCTTGGATTATCTTGGCTGAAGATCAAGAAAAGAGCTTGAATAGCAGGATCCAACATTAGACCCAGAAAAAATATTCAGTCATTTTGTTTTACCCATTTTGTTGTTTACGGTCTGAAATCTTGTGGGTTTTGGATTTCACCAAGTGGGTTTGAGTTGATTGTCGTATTAAAAATCTGGGATGGGAGAGATGGTGGATAAAGGGATTGAACATTTGGTATCTGCAAGAAAATCACTGAAGCTCAGTTTAGACAAATCTAAAGCATTAGGTTTATCTCTTGAGAAAATTGGACCTAGATTAGATGAGATTAATCAGAGATTACCATCATTAGAAGCTGCCGTTAGACCAATTCGGGCACAGAAGGATGCTCTTGCTGCTGTTGGAGGTCATATAAATCGAGCTGTGGTCCCTGCCACTGCTGTTCTTAAGGTTTTTGATGCCATCCATGGCCTGGAAAAGTCCTTGTCTGATCCCCAATCAGATCTTCCTGGGTACCTTGGTGTCCTGAAGAGACTTGAGGAGGCATTGATGTTTTTGGGGGAAAACTGCGGCATGGCAATTCAGTGGTTGGCTGATATTGTGGAGTATTTAGAGGATCATAAGGTTGCAGATAGTAGGTTCATTTCGAATTTGAAGAAGGCACTGGAGCATCTTAGGGAGTTGCAGATGAATGAGGAAAGGGGTTGTCTTGATGGGGGGCTGCTTGAGGCTGCCTTGGACAGGTTAGAGATTGAATTTCGGCGGCTTTTGACAGAGAACAGTGTGCCGTTGCCTATGTCTTCATCTCCTTTGCCTGGAGAACAAGCCTGCATTGCACCATCTCCGCTGCCAGTTGCTGTCATTCAAAAATTGCAGGCTATCCTTGGTAGGTTAATTGCCAATAATAGACTTGATAAATGCATCTCTATTTATATTGAAGTCCGTAGCTCAAATGTTCGGGCAAGTTTGCAGGCACTTAATTTGGATTACCTTGAGATATCTGTCTCTGAGTTCAATGATGTGTTAAGTATAGAAGGCCACATAGCTCAATGGGGAAAGCATTTGGAGTTTGCTGTGAAGCACCTGTTCGAGGCTGAGTATAAACTTTGTAACGATGTGTTTGAAAGATTAGGTTTGGATGTTTGGATGAGCTGCTTTGCAAAAATTGCTGCCCAAGCAGGTATCCTTGCATTCCTTCAATTTGGGAAAACTGTTACAGAGAGTAAAAAAGATCCAATTAAGCTGTTAAAGCTGTTGGATATCTTTGCATCTTTGAACAAGTTAAGATTAGATTTTAACCGGCTCTTTGGTGGAGGAGCCTGTGCTGAAATCCAAAATCTGACAAGGGATCTCATCAGGAGGGTGATAGAAGGGGCTTGTGAAATCTTTTGGGAGCTTTCAGTTCAGGTTGAATTGCAGAGGCAAGTGCCACCTCCTCCAGATGGCAGTGTCCCAAAGCTGGTTATCTTTATTGCTGATTATTGCAACAAGTTGCTTGGAGATGACTACAAGTCAATTCTGACTCAAGTTCTGGTGATTGAAAGAAGTTGGAAGCATGAGAAATTCCAGGAGAGGCTTCTCATTGGGGAGTTGTTGAGTTTAATGAGATCTGTTGAGCTGAATCTGGATAAGTGGTCAAAAGCTTATGAGGACGCTGTTTTGTCAAGCATCTTCTTAATGAATAATCACTGGCATTTGTACAAGCACCTTAAAGGTACAAAGCTGGGGAGTCTACTGGGAGATTCTTGGTTAAGAGAACATGAACGAAATAAGGAGTACCATTCTGCTATATTTTTGAGTGAGAGCTGGGGAAAACTTCCTTCTTTGTTAAGCAGGGAAGGTCTCATTTTGTTTTCTGGTGGACGTGCTACTGCTCGTGACCTGGTCAAGAAAAGATTGAAAGCTTTCAATGAAGCCTTCGATGACATGTATAAGAAGCAGTCCAACTGGGTTATATTGGACAAAGATTTGCGAGAGAAGACGTGTCAAGTTATAGTTCAGGCAATTGTGCCTGTTTATCGTAGCTACATGCAGAACTATGGCCCTTTGGTTGAGCAAGATGCAAGTGCGAGCAAATATGCCAAGTACACTGCTCAATCTTTGGAGAAAATGCTCAATTCTCTGTTTCAGCCGAAGCCTGTGAAGTATGGGAGCTTCAAAGTTAGGCAATCTAGTGGGAAATTCAACAATGGGGTGACAGATCATTGTCATAGCACTTCTCCTGTGGCAAAATAAACTTCAATTATGAATTAGAGAGATTTCATGGTTTGCCTGAATAGAGTTCTCAAGTGTCGCCCTTCACAATTCTAGCCAGGCTTTTATGCTGTGTATATAAAAACGACTACCAATTGTATCCAGATTCCAGCTCGTGTAGAGGAGATTAGAGTGTGGATCTGGTCTGGCTGTTTTCCATACAGGATTACATAGTCGGATACAAATTGTGATAGGATGAATACTATGTTCTTCTCCAAGTGCTTTCCTACATGCTGGTGTTTTCCAGAATACCACATGCATGGATCACATGGCTCTCATTTCAGCTGGTTCCAGATTTTTGGAGGGCATTTATATTCGTAGCTGGTCCTTGTATCTTCACTTATTGATTCAGCTGCTAGGTTACTAGAGGTATGGCTCCCTGTACTCTAATAGCTGCCTGTACAATTGTTAGGTATAAGTTGCCCCCGAATCTGCCAATGGCAATTGAACTGTCATTGTCATAAATCTGGGAAAAAAGAAATATTAGATTCTCAAAAGATGTACTGTTCTTTCATTGACTCAAGTTGCTGCAAAACCTCACTCATATTGTAGGGCTCTATTGGAGAAATGGTCGGAATAAAACTATTAGTGCTTTTTTACTGCCTGCCAACTCTGATTGCTGATTGACATGTATTTCATCATCCTTTTGGAGCAGATTTAGTAGTCTATTGCAGTTATTTACTTGTTTTATTCTTTCCAATAACATGTAAGAATATGGATAAACAGGATGCAGTTCCTTGTCCTTGCTTTTATGAGGATGGTGAAGTTTAACTGTGGCTCCAAAAGGGCAAATAAAGAAAAGATTAATTTAAATCCATTTGGATGGACCTTTTTCGCTACTATGATTTTGATTCATCACCTGCTATAGAATGTTCTGTTGCAGTTTTCTTGCCAGATTAAAATGCTGCATCAGTAAGTACCTATCCTTTTTATTTGCTTTTCATTTTAGTTGTCCATTGGTTAATTTACGACTGTTGCCCCTTGGAGTTAATGTTTGCATTCTGAATACTTTTGTCTGTTTATTCAACTAGTGTCTTGTGACTAATAACCTTAATGTATTAACAGATTCTGTGGGCCTATTTGTTCTATCTCTTTGCAAAGCTGTATTTTGTTTTAAACACATCAGCAGTGACTAGGAAATGTTTGGATTCCTGTTTCTGCTGCTTATTTTGTGAAAACTAAGAACCAAAATTCCCTGGTTTCTGAGATAATGCATATGTTCATAGTGTTCTGGATAGACTTCTGTAAAGGAGTGGTTATCCAGGACAACTAAAACACAAGGGCTTGAGGTTGACAGTACCTGGGGTTACTGCTCACTCACGTCCAAAAATCTTTATACGGAAAAACTGAAAGGTAAGAGGTCAAAGTAGAAGAGTAGAGGGTCTTCCTTAATCCAACAGCAAAGTTCTGCAGTCATGTTACTGTGCTCAATTGCAGTAAAACAGTCCAACAAGCTTCTGCACAACCAAATGTTCTGGTTTCATCTTGGAAATTGATTATTTCATCTTGTGTAGTTGAGTTCTCAACAATAATGTGTATTGATGCTGATCATTTACCTGAGTTTTATCTAGCTAAGTATGATTACATGATAGGCTTTGGTCCTTGTCTCAAATATTTTCAATGTCAACCATCCAATATATACTTCTATAGTGATTATGTTGTATGATTGACTTGACCTCCAATTAGAAATGGCTTGATCAGCCTCCAACCAAATTACAGTGTAAGCTGTATTCGTGATGGGAAAGAAAAGATGGAAGTTGAAAAAGAGTGAAGCGACTCCTTTGCAGCAACTGAGTTCTTGCGGTTCTAGTGACACCATTGCTTTGTTTTTAAATAATTGAGTACCTAATATTCCGATTGTGTTGATTTTGTAGTTCTCATTTTGTTTTGATTAGATGTTGTGCACTTGGTGTTCAATCTGTAATTATATCCTATATGAGAGTTTTAGGGTGTAACATAACCTGCTCTTAGATGTCTGCCTTCTAATTTCTACAAGAAAGGAGAGGGATGAAGCCTAACTTACATCCGACCGTCGGTTAATGTTTTCAGCTTTCCTTTAATTCCATGCACAGGGTGCTTCAAGACGGTTTGTTTCCAGCAGCTGGGTAGTAATTGTGATCGATGAACTTACCTGCGGTGTTGAGCTTGATTTAGTTTGTTGAATGGCTGCTATTCAGAATACAATAATGGTCTCTCATGGTATTTACTTTTTGTTGAAATTAGTAAATGGATTTCTTTCATCCGGCAGGAAATTTTCTTCTAGGTCGCGGGGCGGAGCCACGATGCTGAGGGAGCGCAGTTCACCCCGCCCCCCCTTCCCAAATACCCCATGTATTTTGATGTCCCTATGCTCACATTGAGCAACTACTTTCTGCTGGATATCGTCCTCCGCCTTCAGCATCTATTCAATTACAAAATAAAAGTTAAGTCAGGACCATCAAACTATATAGATGTGTTCTTCCACTTTGGTCTTTAAACTTCAACTTTAGATGTTTTATTCCCTAAAATATGAAATTTATCTCACGAAATTGTCAAAGATAACGAAATAGCGGACAAGTGATACCCAAAATTGAAGGACTAAAGTGGGATGAATTTCATACTTTGGAAAGTAAAGTGTTTAAAATTAAAATTTAAATTAAAGTTGGATGAATGCAATACTTTACGTGCTTTACTATCCAAAAATGAAGTTTAAGGACTAAGATGAAAATGTGTCTATAGTTTTAAGGATCCAAAGTGGAATTTAGGCTTACAAAATTAAATTCTAAGGATGGGATGTACGATGTAGGGATAGGGAAAGGGAGGATTGAATCCAAAATCTTTAATTCATGGAATCTCAATCTTAACAACTAAGTTAAGGCGTGCCTAGCAAAATTGAATACTACTTCAATAAGAGTAAACTTTAGAAAGTTTAAAGGCAAAAACTCAGAATTAATTCAGATTTTTAATTTTGGCCAATATATTTTTAACAGCGCAGACTATTTCGATAAAGTGAGGTAGAATAACTTACATATAAAGTGTTCAAAATTGAAAAATGAAAATAAAGAAGTTAAAATTTGAAAAATTCCCCATAGTATTTCCAAGTTGTGATCTCCAAAACTGAATTGTGTAGAACAAATTTAATGAGCTATATAAGTTGCTTATTTTAGTGTTAATTTTTTAGCAAATAACTTAAAGAATATTGTGCAATGATTTGAAATGTTATTTTAAAGTTAGGAACTAGTTTATTTATAGCTGATAATTAGTTATGTTAGGATGATGGATTTCGAAGAATACATGTTATGATGATTTAAAGGGATAATTTCAGAAACCTCCTCTGAGATTTACGACAATATCATATGGCTAGCCTTTTGTTTTGAGTATTACTCCTTTATCATTACAAAATGATCACACTAGGCCAAACTTAAAGACTCAATTTACATACCAATTATTAAGACCTAACAAAATTAAAGAAAAAGGCAACAAAATAGAAGTCACAATTTTTTTCAAGGTTTTTCCTTTCTTCCTTGTTTTTTGTGCTTTAGTATAATAATCCTTAAAGCCACTTTGCGTCCTTGCATAATTTTCTTTTTTTGATAAGCAAATAATTCTTTCTTTAAAAAAAGGTCTACCGTAATACTTTATTTATTTACTTATCTATTACATTTTATTTTTTTTATTTTTATTTTTTAGCTGCTAGTTCATGATTATTTTGCTGGCAATAGAGCTGGCACCACTATTGATGATAGTGCTGGTTTTAAAACTTAAACCAAAGTCACTGTAGTAGTTTGTTTTCTGCTTCTCTCTTTTTTTTTAAGCAAAAGGGTAGTTTGGGTAATTCATTTGAAATTATTGCTATTTATAATGTTTTATGATCCAAACAACTAAAATAGAAGAGCTATGTGTAATATTCAAAACATGAGGAGTGCTAAGTCAACTTTTCATAAACTTCAAGAGACGTTTCTAAATCCCTAATTTGAAGCAAAATTATAATTCAAGATAGCCTATTATCCTTTTTTGTATACATTTTCAACTGACACTCATCAATAAGATCAAGTGTCAATTTTTTTTTCAAACGTTAAATCAATTATGAAAAGTGTCTCAATGCAAGTGCGCAATAGATGTAGAAATGTGCATTCATAAGTTATATATTATTTGAGTATACTAATGAATGCATGTTAGGTACATGCTAGAAAAATACTTCTTTTATATGTTATACTGTAAGAATTTGAAATAGTAGCATAAGTTTGAAAAGTTTCAAATTACAAATTTTTGGATGGGTAATGCTTTTAAGTAAAAAAGATTTAGTAGGTATTGAGTTTAGGTGTTTAATCTTTCTGGACAATTGACTAAGCACAAAGGAGGCGGGAATTATTTGCCATGCGCACTAATGTGGCCCACCACCCACAAATTCCGGCCGCCTAACAATATTTGTTTTCCTTAATAAGTGGTGTATACGATATGAATCTAAATTACAACTAGAAAGCTAGACTAGAGATTAGAGGATGACGAGATTGTGAATTGGCATAAACCATAGCAACGAGTCATGCAATTAAAGTTTACATTCTCCTTCCAAACCGTAATTTCTTACAAAATATGTTCTGTTTAATTTTACAATTTTTACCTATTCTCAAAAATTTGTGCAATTCATCAATTACAAGTTCGTAAAAAGAAGGATGTAAATTAGCTACAACTAGAATCGAGCAATAGCTTATATATATAACATAAATATTCTTTTTCAAAGATGAAAAAGGATTTTCCTTAATTGAGTAGGGGTGAGCAAATTCGGTTCATACCGAATTCACCAAATTCTAATATGGTATGAAATAAGTAATGAGATTATAAATTTGGTAATAACCGATTTCGCATTTAAATTCGGTAAAATGAAATAGGGTACCGCATTCGAATACCAAATTCGTATATAAAATTATATAATATATAGATAAATGCTATTTAGTATTAGTATATACTACTAATATATTATTATATTATATAGGTAAATGCTATTAAAAATAGTTAGTATATGGTATTATCATGGACTTATAATAATAATAATGGACAATATATTATTTTAGTATTTGTTAATTGTTATATGACTATAATAATACAAATATATAGTAATACATAACAATATAAGATAACTATAATACTTATTATTTTATACCTGAGTAACATGACTAGAATTAGATAATAATTAATACATATATGTATAATACTAAATATTAAATAATAAACATAATTAGTAATTAGAATTTAGATATTGGTAATTTGATACATCATTCATGTTTGAATTATTGAATATTTGAACGCATAACCTGTAACTTGCAAGTATTAGTGTGCTCTAAATTTACATTACATATTTAACATAAAAATTTATATTATCTATTCTCTAATCTTAAGGTTTTAAGTATAGACAAGACAACTAAACAGTGTAATTGAATGCATATGAATTGCAAATCAATGCATTAGAGTATTGACTTTCACAATAACATATGTAAGTAAATAAGTCTTATTTTTATTTGAAATAAATTATAAGTTTGTAACTAATATAACTTATCACTAATCATTGTAATTTGTAAGTTTGTAACTAATATTACTTATTATTAATCATTGTAAATTATAAATTCATAAATTATCACTAATCATTGTACAGTCTAAGGTTTATTCAAGTTTAAATTAGTCACTTTTTATGTGTTCCTTAAATCATAGACTAAGAATTCTAGGTATAAGTGATCAAATAAATGCCAATTAAACCACAAAATGATTAATCACTTTTTTTTTTAATAAATGAATTCGGTTAGACCGAATTCATTACCATTTCCGAATTTGAAATCGGTTACGAAATGAATTCGGTTATAGCCAATTCAAAATTGAAAACGGTTTAGATTTCTATAAGTCAAATAATCGAATTCACCGAATTCAGCTAACCGAATTACCGAATTGATACCGTTTGCTCACCCCTATAATTGAGAGTGCACAATTTCTTTTTCTACTACAGAGCTAAACAGGACATAATTCTTTGTACGTTTTCACAGTTTGTTAATTTCATTCCGTTAAATTAAAACTTCAAAAAGGTGATTGCCTTGTATTTTTGGAAATGTTTCTAATATCTCTATTGATCGCACTTCCCATAATATTTCTTTTTTTCTCCTTTCCCTGTATACAACACGGACGATCTTGATAGAATCTTCAGTCGTAGGTCATCATACTTTTACCTTCCTTATTCATCACCCTATTGATTCAATAAATTCAATGGTTGTGGAACGAGAGAACCACCCCACGCAAAAGCAAAAGAGAAAACCTAAGGCACAAGGCATTCGTGGGCAAAAAAAAAAAGGAAGCCATGGATCCTACAAACTCAGAGTATTTGGAGGCTACAGAAGAGTTGCTGCCCCCTAGGTAAATTCTTCGTCATTGCCTTCATAATTTGTGTTTTTATTTTCATAGTATCAGTACTGCTGTAGTTATTTTTCTTGGTAAATTGAACATGAAACTACCATCATCATGTTGTGGTATCTGTGCCAATAAGTATGTGAATTTTTGGTTCCTTTGCAGTTCAGCCTTGTCCATTAAAAACAATACTAGGGACAATTATACTATTGTACAGTAGATCATGCAATAATGTACGCAATTAAAATTTTTAACAAATTGACACACTGAATCAAGACCTTAAAGCGTAGCAGTACTCAGTGCTCTTTTTTTTTTTTTTTTTTTTTTTTTTTTTGTACTCATGAATATGTGAGTTCAGTTTTGTTACCATATTTTTTCTTGCAAAACAGTAAAAAGGGTACATTTTTACAATTGAGGTATTGTACAATGTACATTAGATCTTCTAACTTCTAACAAATTCGCAATTAAAAATTTTTTAAAAGAGAGACAAACCAGAACACAAGTAAAAAGATGAGCCTATGTTTATTTATTTATTTTTGTGGTGGATATTTTTATGGGCCTAAATTATTTGGTTTTTTACATTTTCTTGTTTTAATTTTTGTAATAGAGGATTGTCAAAACATTATGGTGGAAAATCCAAGTCTTTCCACGACTTGTCCAACGTCAAGAGTGTTAGAGATCTGCGAAAAAATGAGCATATAATCAATAAAAAAGGCATCTGGAGAGGAAATTGCACAATATGAATAAGAAAAGGAGATTGACCACGACCACTTCGAATATGCATGAAGGAGAAGAAATGGAAGATCTTATGGACCCTCCAAAATATCAAGCCAGTTATGTGAAAAGAAGTTTTTCCCTTGAGGATCTTTAGTAATTGGAAATGAGTTTTTCCATGATGATGTTTAGTAGTACTGCTTAAAATGTGTTAAATTTATTATCATCCATTATTTTGATAGCAATAAATTATTATTTTCCTTACTGCTTAATATCTATATTTAGTGAGTGTGCCAAATACAAAGAATCCGGAATTTTATAGTTTGCTGGGTTGATAATAGATACTAGTAGTATTAATAAGGGCACACCTGATTTATGTACAATTTAGGAGTTATTCTTGTGCTGGAAATCCTAATGTATGTGATGGGTAATGGACAAAAAATAATAACAATCAGACAAATGAGAAATTCATAACTGCAATTCTACTTAATTTTTACCGAAACGCAATTGTAATAATATTTTGCTCAGAAAAGTTCTTTTTTGTTTTGAAAAAAAAAACAGTGATTTTTTCCTTTAAGGTAGGCTCCGTTTGGATTGTCAATTTTTGCAAAAATTGTTTTTGTCTTTCAAAAACAACCAGTATTGTAAGTCTAAAACAATACAATCTACAGTTAAGATTTAACAAAACTACATCGTTTTGACTTAATGGCCAAAAGACTTTCTCGGACTGCCTTCATCGTTGAGATCCATTCAACCGTAAACTACTTTCCCAAACACGCAAACATTCTAGCCGCTGCAGTGAGGACAATAAACCAGAGTGGATTCAAGATCTGCAAAATGCTCCGGATCTGCAACCAGTGACGTAAATCTGAGCCCATTAACGCTGCGATTCTCACCCTTTTCCTACGACTGAGACACTAAATCACGGCGGGTCTTCAGCTCCAAAAAGCAACCGACAGTAGAGCATCTTCGTTGTGCAGGTCGAATAAGGTAAGCCAGTTCTAGATTTCCCTGCTTATTTTACCTTTTTCAGGGCTGATTATATGAGGTAAACCAGTGGGGGAAGGTTGCGTTTTGACCTTGGGGAAGCTTTAGAACGAACATTAGTCTGTTGGGTGTCTGAAATCTTTAGGTCAGCAACAAGGATATCAAATCCTTCGCTCCTATGATTATATCATTTTCTGTATGTAATAACTGAAGTAAAATCCATTATATTTAGGCCTCTTCCTGGAAATCTTGGATGCTAATTTAAGATGGTACGCAGTAAATTACACTGTGCTTTTTTTACTAGTTCTCATAGTCAGTCGAATTGATGCATTTGTCCGAGGAAATGTGAAAAAACGGGGGAAGGGGAAGGGGAGCTTGATAGCTCTGTATCATGCTTTCTGCGTCGGAGCGATTTCAGAACAGATGGGAGCTCTTTTTAATGTTTTCTTGTCCTGTACTTTGTCCTGGTCTTGGTATTGGTATGAGATTTCAATAATGGAAGGAACAGCACCAAGTCCATTGTTGCCTGCTGTGTTTGATTTACTTCCCACCAGTACTCAATCTATACCTTTATTACCAAACACGCAAATCCTGGCAAACTGCTTGATTTGTTTATCCCCTTCCAAAATAGAGAATTGTTCAGATTATATCACTCTTCTTTTTCTCTCTGGATAACTTTCAAGGTGAAATCCAAATGCGGTAGTCCAAACTGTAAATTATATGATGTGATTGCGGTTAACTCTACATTCGACGGCTGTTGCTACATGTTCCAAATATTTATGTAGCTGTTGCTATTACTTCAAACTTGCGCGATCAGATGTCGAGAGTCAAATTTTAGGTCAGTTTGATTTCCCAAAAGCAACTGAATTTATAGAGCAGTCTAACTTCTCCTTGCTGTCCATTCGCTTATACAGGGTGCTTTACCGCTCTATATTGCCGCTGGCTAGGACTTCATGCCCCCTGTTACCCGCCGTGCTGCCAAAGGTATATTTGCCAATTTCCCCTTTGTTCAGTGCATTCTATAGTATGGTTGTCTAGTATTTGACGATCCTTGTTGTTGACACAGCTTTGAAGCCGATTGGGATCCAGAAATCTCTTTCAACCAGGTCATTCACCTCAGAAAACGATATTCGGAAGTGCCTTTCTAACTACTACAAGGTACCATTGTACCTCCTGTAGTTATTTTTGCCTAATTTTGTGTGTGAAACACCATTTTAGTCATAATATGTTTGGGGCTGACTCTTCTAAAGTTGGACCTTCTTCCTTGTCCCATGCCACAGCAAATTCGAACATTTTTCTTCATTGCCTTGACCTTTATTGTCGGATTTCACTATGCATGGTAGCATTTGTTATTTAGTTCAGTTTTTGTCATAACTCTTGACTCTAAAGCGAAACTTCACATTACCAAAACTGGTTTTGTTCCTGATTTGCTAGTGTTATGTTGGATGAGTGTTCAATTTAATCTTTTTTAGTTATAGATTTTTAGATTTTGTTAACAGATTTGGCTTGATCCTCATTACAATACATGATTGTCTAGTATTTAAACCTCTGGTTATTGCTGTATAATTTAAAGTGTATTTAATGGCCGACAGATTTGGGTTATCCACAGATTTGGCTGTAAAGTGTAGTTAAACGTTAATGGCTAACTTATAAAATTTAGCCGCTTATGCAATACAATCTATTTTCCTTTCTAAAAAGCTGCTTACAATCTGTTTTTTCAACTGGATTTGTGTATGGCTTATTAAGATGCGAAAACAAAGGCGCCATCAAGATAAGAAGCGTTGTAATTACTCTAGGCAGCACGAAATCCGATTTGCCAACCACTTTGTTGAGATGCATGGACAGGGTGAAATTAGGGACAATATTAGTACCTACGTCGTTCCCGAAATCCAGCGCCGGTTAAATGGCCAGTACGGCACCTGTAAGGCCTGGTGCAACGTTGGAGACATTCATGGTGTGTTTTACCCCAGTTTCTCGATATGCTTCCAGAAACTTAGGTTGTGTTTGGATTGTATTTTTCATGATTTTTTATGGAAAAATTACTGTAGCGATTTGATGTATGTGAGGGAAAAAGATAATAGGGAAATATAATTACGGAAAACGACGTAATTTTTCAACGAAAAACAGCAATCCAAACAAGGCATCGGAACTAGCTTGAAATATATGCTTAATACGAATACATCATGCATTATTAGAATTGTTTCTTAAAGTGATATCTTTAAAAAAGAAGTACAAGTCGTAAAATCCACAAACTAATATAACAGTATATAAGTGGGATGTTTACACATAGCATAAAATGAAGGGGGCAGAAAAGGAAAATTCTTTGCAGAAAACATAGAAGAAGTAAAGTGAATCCTCTCATGTAAATTGAATCTATGGAGACCTTAGCACAACTATCCATAGCAATTTTTAATAGAGAAGTAAAACCCACACATCGCAATCCAGATCCATATTTTGATGTATTGATGACTTGTATTATTCGTAAATAATAATTTATACTATTTTGTACTATTTAATAATAATAATTTATACTATTGACATTAGAAGTTGTACAATCTACGAATTTAGGATGAAGAAATGTGGAGTTTAACCTTTTTTTATATTTACAGTTCTAACTAGGCTATTGAAAGCGTGACAACCCGAGCCAAGAAAATTTCAAAAAACAAATTGTCATATGTCATGTGTGTAATGGTAATATGATGATGGGCCGTACATCATATGCGTAGTGGTACTCGTCTAAATCTAGAAAAACTGGTAGTAAACCCCCTTGAAGTTTGAATCCAAAATCATTTTGCCCTCTGACATTTGTTTTTCAGCACTTTGTACCCTCGGTCAGTAAAAAGTAACGTTTCACTGTTAAAATTATAGAACATCTGAAAATGCCCCTATTTCTACAAATTGGAAACTTTGAACAAAATCGTCCTTGTCGTGACAAAGTCAAATCCCTTCTTCTTATAAATAAAGACCTAACTTTCTCTTCTTTAAAGAAAAACCCAACTCCTATGTGTGGGTTGCTTTGCCTTTTTTTTTTTTTTGAACAAATCAATGGCTAGAACACTAGAAAAAATGCCCAAAATACTGGTTACTTCAAATTTTGGTACTATTTTTGGGGTGTTACTTGTTGAAATCCTTCTACACAAAAATTAATTGATTTTTTTTTTTTACAAACTCCTAATGCATATAATATTTTCAAATATCTATGTGAGGAAGATATGTGGACCTTTTAAATGTTTCATGTCTTTTTTCCTTTTTAAATTTTTTTTGAGTCACCTCATGAGATGCAACATATTTTTCTCTAACATTTCCGTGGTCATTTTTTTTTTAAAAAAAGGAAAATTGGATCTCACTCCCATGAATATTTTAATCCAATAACTATTAATATGAGGGCATTTATGTCCTTTCAACTGTTGATTAGCTTTGGCCATTTAGTATAAGGGATTGTATGCAAAACTGGATCTCATTCCCGTGAATATTTTAATCCAATAACTATTAATATGAAGGCATTTATGTCCTTTCATCTGTTTATTAGCTTTGGCCATTTAGTACAGGGGACTAGTGCTCAAAGATAAACTCTAGGAGGTTGAGTGATTTTGGGACCAAACTTTAAGGGGGCTTACCACTAAATATAAATAGATGTACACTTAAAAGAGTAAATTTTATATACACTAATAGAGTATACACTATTACAGTTAGATGAATGCTACATAAGTGAAATTTAAATTTAAAATTAAAATTCAATATATATGACATTCATCCAAGTATGATAGCGTATATACTATAAGTATATAAAAGATTAATCCTACTTAAAATATATGCAATGGGTACTCGTTTGGCTAAAATTGCAAAAATTAGTGAACATCTCATTGGTGTGTAGTATTTGTTTGTAGCTTGTCCACATCCAACCAGATTTGGGTTGTTTGTATCATAACATAACCAGATTGATTGGATGAGTTCGGTTTACTTTAAGCAAGTTGTCCTCAATCCAGATTGAGGGCAATCCAGATTGAACCGAGCTGATTTGATTGGAGTTACTCATGCACCGCACTTGTCCTCAATCCTATTCAAAACTACTCAACTAGCAAGTCGCATATTGAAGACGGTCACTTCGGATCGTCCTGTCCGAAGTGGTGTCCCATGGCCGTGGTTCTTTCCGCCACCTCGGCTAGACCTCTGCGACATCTTGTGGGCCTCAGCCTCTATGACTCAGATGGCCGTCTAATCTTGGTCGCACGCGGGTGATGTCAGCTAGCTTGACATGTCATTAAGAGCCACCACTTTAACTGAGGCCACAAGGGCCCTTTATTGGGAATATGCAGGACCACCTGACAAAGTGTCTGGACCACTGCCCCCCGTCAGGAACAGAGGCCGCAGGTGCAGAGCAGAGCTGTAATCCTTAGGAAGCGGGACCCAGTGGTTTAAACCCACTGTCCTACCCTCCATCCTCACACCCTATAAATACTCCTTCACCCTCTCCATGCAAGTAAGACTACTGCAGCACTTATACTGTTCATTACTCTTTATTCTCTCTCTATACTGACTTGACCGTCGAAGTGATCCCAGGGGACAAAGGCCCGCCTCTCACTTCAGAATAGCACTCCTGTCTCTAAATTTCAGTTCACCAAGAGAGGGAGCTGGACTAGGTCAGCTCGGCTATCTAACCAGAAATTACCTCTTCACATATTCAAATAAATTGCGTTTAAAAAATCATCAAATTTCAAATTTTGGAAGCCATACTAAAAGAGTCATTCCAATTCAATGTAGAACTACTTGAGTTCCCAAATATTCAAATTTCAAATTTTGGAAGCCACATTAAAAGAGTCATTCCAATTCAATGTAGAACTACTTGAGTTCCCAAATATATGAATTCTCATGAAAATCATCCAATATCCAACCAATTCTACAAATGTGACATGAGCGAAAAATACATGATTCTACCCAAGTAATTTAATGTACCTGTCAATGTAAAAATTCAAATTTGCAGCCCTGAGTACGTGAAGAGGCTAGGGCTAACCAGTTGGTTAATGTTTGATGACGGCTTCCCATCGAAAAATATCAAGATAAATTGCCTTTCCTTGTAGAAAAATTGTTTGTTTCTCTTTGATAACTACTTCAATTCCAATTGCAATACTTTTTGCTAATTCTCCTTCCAAATGCAAATAACTAATAATCTTCTCAGAATATTTTCCTACAAGTCCATAATTTGTAATCTTTTTTCTTTACCTTCCATTTTTACATCAGCCATCATATCTATTAAACCAAATGGAAATGAAACAAGAAATTCCATAGAAAAAGAAATAACAAATGAACATTACGAAATAATTAAATATTGTGGATATCTATCACATTTATTTCATCCCCTAGATGGTGACAAATATTTTATGTTATTCGAGATGATAAAGCTATCACAACTTTTGGGGTGAAAAAGATGACACAATTTTCAATAAAGCTATTACAACTTTTGATAAAGTTGCACAACTACCGATAAAGCTATTACGACTTTCGATAAAACTATCACGTCTTACAAGAAAATTGTATTACCATCTTGAAGAAGTTAGTTGCTGTATTTTCCCCTATAAATGGGGGTTAACTCCCTCTTGTATTTGTGATAGAAGAGTGATAGAAAACTAAAGTTTTATTTGAGTGAATAAAAGAGTAGCACTTCCTGTGACCACCGAAGCGTCCGTGTTCAATTTTAATTGCGGATATGGTGGCTTGCTCCATGCAACTAGTAAGCATTTAGATTTTCTCGGGGGACGAACAGCAAGAACAGTCCTTGGCTCCTCAAAATCACCACGAAAATGCAGCGCCTTGAAGATCCTAGCACAACCCAACCACTCAATAAAGTGTTGTGCGCTTCAAGACGACTTCCTTAAAAAAAAGCTAAGTTTCTAGCCTTCCATAAAAACCAAATTATCACAACTGGCACCACCATTCTAATGTGGTCACCTGAACCCGTGGGAATGGAGCTATACTAAGAGAGAAGCATAGCAGACAATGAGGAGCACATTAAGTGTACACACTGAACCGACGACCAAAGTGTTCCCAAACAAGAGTCGCAACCAAACCATCAACAAAAATATGGCACAACATTTCTTCATGACAGAAACAGCATGAATATCGAGACACAAGGGGTATTTCACGCCTTTTAAGGGCAGCGTCTAACAATAGCCACCCATATAAAGCACGCTAGGCCAAGAAGGAGAGTTTTAGAGGAATAAGGTTGCTCTTAATAAGCCGACAAATAGATGATAAATATCGTTTTGACCGGAGTTCCTCCCAAGCACTCTTGACAGAGAACTCGCCCATTGAAGAGGGCTCGCAGACCATGGAATCCTCTAGTGTCAGAAACAAGGAAAGCTACAGTACCCGTTGAATAAGATGGCTGGTGTCGCGCCCCATTTTTATAAGAAAAATAAATGGTTTTAAAAAGTGAATTTTTGATTTGAAAAAGAAAATGGAAAAATATGGGTCTAAATGGGACATGAAAATGCGACGATTTGACCCAAAATATAGTTTAAAAAGGGTTTATTGAATGAAAAATGGAGTCGCCACTTGGTATAGAGTTAAGGTGTACCAAGTCACCTAAAATGAGTTTTCAAAGGAAAAAGTGGAAAAAACCCCTTTTAAACGACTCCTAGTCTACGTAAATCAAAGAAAAAGGTTTGAGAGTCACATTTGACGAATGGGAAGGCAAGGATGAAATCCAAGGCACCCCTTTGACCTAGCCAAGGCTAGTTGCGTGATTTAGTCAAAGATTTTCTTGTTTTAACCAAAGAATTTATCACATTTGGAATGTACTATATGAATGCGAACCCTAGACTTAGAAGGGTATCGGGGGGTCAAAATGTATCTTCAAATCTTATTTGGTACCAATCACATTAATTGTGACGCCCAATAAACACTTTTCGAAGAAGTCACGAATAATGCAAGTCATGAGACTCGAAAGAAAAAGTAAAGAAAATAATAATATACAAATGTGTATGACCTAAAGGAATGCATCATAATGGGTGCGGGGGACTTATACTCGTGACTTTCAATGTTTCCTTTAATAGAGGGAATATGAGCGTGCTAAAGCTAGAGAAGCCAAACTCGTGCATATCCCATATT